AATTATTATTGAAGTAAATCAAGTAAACATTACTGACAAATTTGTGAAGATATTTTTAATAACTGTTAATTCGTTGAAACACAAATAATGAGCAGTCGGAGGCTTTGAAATCAGCTCGTCAAAAGTTTCAGTCAGTGGAATCTGAGGCATCGAAGAGCTCAGAGTTATTAAAAGGGAAGCTGGAGGGATTGAAGGAGAAGGTACAGGGAGTCATCGACGAAGCAGGAAAAACGGAGCTGGATAAAAAAGCTGGGTAATTGGGTAAGGAAATTTCTAAATCTGCGAAGGGAGCTGCTGAGACGTTATCAGAAAAAAGTCAGGCTTTTGAGATGACCAATGCCTTTCAGATTATATCACAGACCGCAGAAGTCGTTAGGAAAGAATTAGACAATCATGGGATTCAAGGACGAGTCTATGTACTATTGACTAAATTGAGAAAACGAGAAGAGATATTAGAGAGTGAAGAGAAAATGGTTGAGGCTAACACAGAGCCGACCGGTGTTCTGGACAAGGGGAATAGTTCAACATTAAAATTTGATGGAAATAGTGGCCAGAAGTGAGTTTATGAATGATTTCTTTCGTATTGCTTTTACTCAATACTTTTAATAATTTATTCCACAGACTAGCGTGTGGAATTATCGCGAGATCATCAGGAGTCTTCGAAAATACGAAAAGAATTTGTGCCTGCGATGGGACGACCCAGTGGGATGAGCGAGATGAGTCTAAACAAAAAGGTTCATTCAAAAATACTTTCATATATCCAGGTAAATGCACCATAGTCTAATACTCATAGTATTTACCCATTAAATACAATTTTAAAAGCCAATGTTTTGTGTGTCTTTTCAGTGTGTGGTAATAATCTTTAAATTCGACCCAGAGTGGATAGTGCACTTTTTGAAAACTACTATAAATTTATTTCTGTATGCAGGTCATGTAAAAGTCATATCATTCCATAATATTCCTGATGAAACATTTTTATATTTCAGTTTTTACTTATGAGGAGGGCTGAATGTATTTATAACTCAAATAAAAATTCAATATAAACCCATAAATAAATGTTTATTGTGTTCGATCAGATTGATTCAATTCGTAATTTATCATTTATCAGTGTGCATGACGTAAAAAAAATAATAATAATACAAAAAGGTATGAGAATAACTAGGAAAATTCGATCGAATGAGAATAAATCATTCGTTATCAGAACCACTGTCGTCAGAATTAGTTCTGCCTCGAATTGTTTTTGATTTCTGGTTTCCAAAGAGTAGATTAGACGGCTTCTTTCCCTTTTCTGGTAGATTCAACAGGTCACCAGTGTATGATATTGCACCAGACTGGGCTATTCTCCACTCCATCATCTCTGTGGAAAAATCGGCACGATTTCCGAGGTCCGTGAAGCCTACGATGTAGTCTTTTGTCTTGCTGTCTGAGATGGGGGCTATCGTGGGAATGATTTTGATCCTCAAACGCTCTGGAACCAAATAATTAGTTCCTTCAAAAAATGCACGTATCTGAGTCGAAGTCCATGACCATGACGAAGGCACATTATGGAAATAGCTTTAAGAAAACTTGGGCGGCGAAAGGTGTTCACTGCTGGATAACCCCCTGTTGACGATTTTGGTTTCTTCTTAAGCTCTCGCATTTTGTCTACCTTCACCTTTCGTAAATGCATTATCTTTCTTCGGGTCAAGAATTGATCCAGGAATTCATCGATTTCTGTATCTCTTCTGTATTTCTCAGCTATTTTTTCGACACGAAGGAGAATACAAATAAAAATCACAATTATCATTTGATAATTGTTTATATAATTGCTTAAATAATTACTTCCGATTCTTCTTCAATTTCCGCAGCAGCTCACAGCCTTTCTCAGACAGTTCATATAATGCTTTTTTATTCTCCTCGAGGATTGACTTCGGCCAGAGAACGATTTCCAGCGATCAGAACTTCCTTTTCAGATTCCAATTCTTTAAACTAGAAAACCTCACGACAAGTTAGTAAGTCGCATATCTAATAATAAGACAAGAAAATAATGAGACAACCGCCTTATTATCCATTTATTGTCATCGATTAAATAATTCACCTGTTTTATGTCATTGACAACTTCCTCGAATCTTCCATCATCGTTCAATATTTCTCCCAAATCAGTGTTGCTGAGATGATTCAACATCGACAATGCAGCTAGAATATCCATAGAAATTGATGAATTTATTATTAATGCATTATTATTTATTATTAATAAATGTCATGGTTCTTTTTTGATTCCAGGTTTTCAAATCATAACAATTTCCCATCCATTGACTTAGTGGATTAGGCCTACAGGGGATACCACGTTAAAAAAACGCGTCAAGGACTCTACCTCTTGGGTGACGTGGAAAGAGTTTCACTTTAATTACTTGATTTATGAAAAAATAGTCAATACTGGGGAAGAATCTCTCGTATTGAAATAATCATATACCCATTGTTCATTTATGCTTTTGTAGACAATTTTTATGCCATAGCTTTTTTTTTCATGTCAATTTGAAAGAAAAAAAATCAATCGACTCGACTGGCATTCAAATGTAAACGTCAGAAATCGCTGAATTGTGGGGACGAAACGCACATGAGGAGAAGGCGTTATACAGCGCTACGGACAAAGTCTGAAGGTTCTTGTCCCCTGTTTTGGTGTCGGCGACATCAAAGTTGCGACGTAGGGTCCCTAGGGCCACCATATTTACCACTAGATTAGCCCGCCGAGATCCAAACTTTCAATTAAATGACTTTTAATTCTAACAATTAATGTAAATTAATTATTCTTACTAGCTATAGGTAAGGTGTACAGATGGTAAGAAAATGGATTTAGGAACTCTCTAAGTGGGGGTATGAAGCCCACACCTTTGACCAGGACACAGTGCCTGATTGGCCCCCAGTTTTCCCTCCATTTTAGTCAATCCTCTTTGGTGCCTACATTCATTGATCAATTCAAACATTCCCGCGCCATTCAGCACCCCTCGGGCGAGTTCTGCCGCCTATTTTCCCCCCAAATAATCCACTCGGTACATAAAATTAGAAACAGGATGCTCAGCTGGTTGTCTAACTCTAACTCTAACCTGTTAGAAGAGTGGACGAATAATGAATTTCCATTGGATCCGTCCTCAAGATTCGCTGAAATCAATTTACGCTAGGGTTTTTGCATTCCTTCAATTGTCTACATCGGATGTCTGAAGTTGGTTGAATGTGAATACAAGAAATACAAGCCCAACAAGGCAACAAACCATTGCACCTGGCGACACTGCGTTTTATTCCCAGTATTTAATAGTGGCAACAACAACCCTGACCAACACCGGCTGACTAGACTTGAAAAGAGTAAATAAAGTACACCACGTGTTTTTCAAACTGTCATCAGGTTTTTACTGCTATAATCAAACAGTGGAATTCACTCGCAATCATGGCTGTCGATATTGTTGAAATGCTTAAGGAGTCGAGAATGACGAAAATCTGTGCTCCAATGGTTCGATATAGCAAGTAAGTGTTGACTTTTTTTATGGAGTTTTGCAAGTACAGTGTACATTACGTAGGTTAATATTTTATTTAATAGCTTTTTGTCTCTTTTTGATTTTAGATTGCCATTCAGGGATTTGGTTCGACGTTACGCCTGCGATATCTGCTTTACACCGATGATTTTAGCTGACTCGTTTGTGCAATCCTCAAAAGCAAGGGATAATGAATTCAGTACAAATAAGAAGGATGAACCTTTAGTTGTACAATTTGCGGCCAAAACACCTGGGGATTTTGCTAATGCTGCCGAAATGGTTGCACCGTGAGTACAAGCTTTATTTTGAAAACCGATATATTCCACTTTTTGGCTTGACGGGGCAATAAAGAAGTAATTCAAGAAAGACGAAATCCACCAATCATTTAATGACTCCAAGAATATCATGATTAAATACTAACTTTCCGACATTTTTTTCACTTTTTAACAATTTATAAAAGTTTAAATAAAACGCGGAAATTGTTGCATGCTCATGAAAATTTGTGAGTCATAGAATAATCATGAAATGTAAAAACGGTATATTTTTTGGAGTCGATCCGATCAATAATTTGTCAGAATGTCCTCAATAAAACCCATGTAAATTAACATTGAGGCCCATTCTTTATAATTATGTTTCTTCCAAACTTGAAAATTTTCTTACTATATAATTTAATTCGTCATCTAATATAGTTCATTCATAATTTGTTTTTCCCAATATATATTTGAATGATTAAGTACATAAACTATAATGAATTTCGAGTACCTCTTGATTTACTAACAGAAATTCAATGATGAATCCGTAATTTACAATTTCGAAATTTTCACTTCAATGTAGATTATAAATTTACAGGGTTTCTGGGTCGGATGAAGGGAATGCATTCATTTTGCAAATTCACTGCAATACCCGAAGTATTATTTCCCAAAGATTTCGAAAATTTCATCATTGGAAAAGTATTTTAATTAATAAAAAAAAATTAATTAAAAAATTAGAAGGATCTATTCAATTGAAAATATCCTGTGAAATTTTGTTGAAATTCGACGTCATATTTCAAGTGGATAATTCGTTTATCCGCAAATGAATCTATAAAGGTATAAAAGGGTTTTCGAAAATAGTTTTTCTCACTAAAAATATGGCTGAAAATTTCATAATTCCTCAAACTCTACACCATTATTCTTTTCTAATTGAAAAAAAAATGAATTCATTTTTCAAGTTCTTTACGCGGATATATTCTAACATTTTTTTAATGGCTAGCATAATTTTCAATTCATTAAATTCATGTCATCTTTAGAAAACGTAAGTCCTGATAGATATCAATATAATTATAAAAATATGAAATTGGATCAAAGTCACACAAATTCCTCGTAAATAAACCAATTTCTCGATTCTAATGACCAATTCTCATTATTTCAATAGGTACTGTAACGGAGTGGATTTAAATTGTGGCTGTCCCCAGCGCTGGGCCATCAAAGAGGGTTACGGAGTAGATTTACTCTCAAAACCTCAGCTGGTGAAAGAGCTAGTGCAAACCGTTCGAAACCGCATACCCGCTCCTTTCACCGTCTCCGTAAAGATCCGTCTCCTGAAGGACCTCCCTAAAACGATCGATCTCTGCAGGACACTTGAAAAATCTGGAGTATCCTTTCTAACGGTTCACGCTCGTACCGCACTGATGCGTAACCAGCCAATTGATCTGTTCTCCCTCAAAGCCATAAGAGAAAGCATCCAGATCCCTGTAATAGCGAATGGCGGAGTAAACTCATTGCAGCAGGCGAAGGATCTTTACGAGTCATCAAAATGTCAGGGGATCATGGTAGCCAATGGACTTCTCACGAATCCAGCGCTTTTCTCAGGAGCAACCGTCACTCCTTTAACATGTATTCAGGACTGGTTGAACATAACATCGACTATTCCCACGAATTTCCTCACCATGCATCATCACCTTGTCTTCATGCTTGAAAAAAGTCTCCCCAAAATTCAACGCCAGATTTTCAATAATCTACAGACACGAGAGTCCTCTTTGGAATTTATCCACTCACATTACGGAGTTACTCCCCAGGCTGTACCTGAAAGCATCGAACCTATTGCCTGCTCTTATCAACTCCCACTCAGACATAATTCAAAATTAATTGAACAATCTGATAGTGGAGATGAGTGGGAAATAATTCCGAGTTTCTTTGACGAAGAAAAGTTGACGTGCAATATCGATCCCAATTGACGATTCAATAAGTTAGATGTGCTCAGCAACAACAGTTCTGGAAGAATTTCATGAGAAGAATATCAAGTATCAAGTATAAATGTCCAGGGGTTGTTGGGGTGAGATGCATGTGCATGGCTTCCTCAAATCGATTGAAATCAACGCGAACGCAGGCGTGTGGACTTGCGCTCTGGGGCTGTATTTGTGGGGGTTTTTTCTGGAATAAAGCTATACCGCCAGCACATTTGACGATGATAATTCGGGGGGGTGGGGGGCGGGGGGGTATAAAACCAGTTGTGCATTTGATTAACATTTCCTGATTCCAAGTTTTGTAGAATTCATTTTTGGTTACTGAATTCCTTGGTGAGTGATCAAAACTTGTGGAAGTGATTGAGATTGAGACTCAGAATGGTGTGAGGGGAGATTTTAAGACGATGGGTCAGAGCATTGGATGGGAATTCAATCACTGTTGCCTATCATTTGACCATCAGCGTGTCAACGACAACCGGAGGTGCACTCAATACGTTAAAATGTGAGTTATGATCTTTTATAATGTTCCACTGTGGACAATGATTTTTATCTTAATTTTCGAGATTTTGTCATTAATTTAGAACTGTTCTTATAATTGTGCGTTTCTTTTTTTTCGTCAATTTGGTTTATTTCACAATGATATGGGGGCGGATTGTAGATAAGTCTAGAACTAGAGTAAACTGGCAACTGTGATTTGTTTCTCATTGAGTCATTGCATGACGGAGCTTCATCGATCGCTCTTGTGTCTCCGAGTGGTAAGGCGATCCTTAATATTTCATTCGGAGTATTTTTCAAGATTATTAAGAAGCTACTTGATCTGCGCTATTTAAATGCCACGATTCACAGCGATTATTGCCGCCTCACTAATCAAAAATTTCACGCGGAAATAGGAATCTTTTTTTTGAATGGATGACACTGATTGCAGTTGCATATTCAGTTATTCCTGATTCAACTAGACCGGATTCATCCGTTTCATACAGTCGGTGCTCAATGAACTGTTTGTAATCAGTTTGTTGCAATCCCGTGTTCACTATGTGCTAATATTTTGGTCATTCTACTGTTAATTGAGTAGTTCGTGCTGTGATTACTTTGTTAGGAGATTGCAGTTTTTTTATTTGATCATAATTCTGGTTGAATTTATTTTAGAGCGAGTTAACGGCTCCATGATCAACGGTATTTTGGATTTATTACTAGGTAAGAACAAGATGTAATTAACATCGTTTAGCACTTAGTACTGGGGATCTACTTCATGGATGTCAGTTTAATTAGTCTGTTTAGCATCTCATCTAATTATCTCGTTACTTAGGATAGCGTTATACGTACGTTAACATTCAGCTTTGCTAATGAAGAGTTTTACATATTTAAAATCGAATTGTAAATATTTTACATATTCGTTAATTTTTTAATTCAATGATATTGATATCTTTACATTAAATTATTTCGTGTAGAAAATTCTAATCAGGTGTAATGTATGCCGTGAAAATCAGATAGTGAATTATTGGTTTGGAAATGGTTTTTTATTTACAAAAATAATTAATACATCTTTGTTTATTCCTGCCATCAGAGTCATGAGACATATTGACAATTCCATTTAATACTATCGTAATTTTTTCTAGTAAATCCAAATTCCCGAATCAGTTGAAGAGAGTATATAGTTTATATACGTTTATGATTTTCCAATTAACAAAATCCCAGTCTTCCCCCGTGAAAATCTGGAAAATGTATGAATGCACATGAAGAAGAAATTTAAATGAAATAAAAATTGTTGAATCTGTAATTGAAGTACGAAGGCCTCGAAATATACCACTAATTAATGGAATAATACCTCATTTCATATTATTAACTGTAGATTAATTACCGTTCGGATAAAATGCTACAGTATTTTTTTCTAGCTAGTTCGGAAAAAGAAATTCCACGAAATTCCAATGTTAATTGAAATATCTACATGCATGTGTCTACAAACGGATTAAACAATTAAACAATAATGATAATAACTATTGAAAATTAAGAAACAAGTCCAAATAGACTCTCCATCAATTCCCATTTTGTCGATGATTAAATTTCCAATGAAAAAGAAATTCTCAGTGTGGTTTTATTTCCAATACAATAGACACGTCCAGTGATTATACTAGTCTTTATCAAAAGTATATTTTTATAAAACCAATTGTCCTGTCAATTTTTTTCTGCTCACTAAACTCCATTAGTCATTAGTTAAATTACGCGACATAGAATATCTTTAACATGTCAATTGAAAGGCAAAAAACTGAGTGTGAGATTTTTAGTTGTTTTTACCGACTCCTATTTAATTCCAGTTTACACAGGTTTCAACAAGATTTATATGTATCTAATACCAATTGTTCAGAGGGTGAGAGGGAGGGGGGAGGGGGAATCAAGTTAATATTGCAGAACCGTAGGATGCAAAAACAATTATTCAATCCGGGAAATGAAGTAGAGGATTGGTGGGGGGCAATTTGAATGAGAACACGGGTAATGCCAGGAAAATTATTTTGAATCAGTACTAAAAAAAATTCCACTCAAAACTATTGTGTTTAGTTAGAGGAAGTTATTTTACTGTTGTATAAGCCAGAAAACCAATTGAAAATAAAC